AATAAATCCAATAACATAATTAATTCTAAGCTAAATAATGGAAATAAATCCAAGAAAAAAATAATCTCAAAACACCAAACAAAAAAAATCTCAAATAATAAATCCTAACAATTAAATTAAATTAATTAAAAATAATAGAAATATGGAATGATCAAGAATCTATTCCGTGTTACTCTTGCTCTTGAGATGATCCTACTGAAACATCTTCATTGTCTTCATCTACAAGTAAACGTTTTAGATAATTTCTAAATAGGATAATTCCTTTCTTTTTTTTTGGGAAACGTTTTAGATAAATTTTTAAAAGGATTATTTCTATATTACTTATATTATCTTCCAAAATTAATATGTAAAACACACACAAATTTTCTAAAAGAATAATTCTATTTTTGTGTAATTTAAATGGAAAAGATAAATATAAATATATATATATATATATATTTCTAAAAAAACTCGAGCTCATGAGCTAACTCATGTTCATTAAAGCTCGCTCATATAACTCGCGATCTAAAAAAAGCTCGATCACATAACTCATTTATTAAATGAGCCTAAAAAACAGAGCTCGTGCTCATGAAAAATCGAGCTGAGCTGAGCCAGCTCATGAGTTGCGAGCTCATTTTGACACCCCTATCACAAAGTCATGTTTAAATGCACATGTGGACATCTCTTCTAAGTCGTTCATGAGTGAATTCCAAGTTTTAGTAATGAATATTCACGTAATTTTAGAAAACCTCTAAAAGGATAATTGAGAAGAGGAATTAATTAAGTTATCACGATGCCATGACATACATGATATATCTATCAAGTCTTGACAAGAATAAATGGCTACAATCTTTTTGTGGGTACAATCCGATATATCATTGACCTCTATATGGATTTAAGTCACGAGACAAAGAAAAAAACTTGCAAAACTAGAACACGTATGTAGTTGGGCACATGTAACAAATTACAAATTAGGACATATGGTGCTTAGATAGACAGGTTCCAAACTTCAACACTCAATGGAGTAAGAAACGATCCTGCTACTGCACGAAACCTTACATTTAGCGAAGCTAAGTTTGTGACAGAATACGATAGGATACCCATTTTTTGAGAATGAGTTTAATTACATGAAAATTCTGGTTAAAAAATGTGCTAATGTTAGGATTAGTCAAAACGATATAACGATTATATGTGATACATGAATACATGATACATGAATACATGATACATGATACTAACTCTTAAAAACTCAACATTTACCAACAAAAAAACAAAATTAAACCCAAGAAAAATAGGGTGACATGTGTCATAAATTTCCATAGCAGAAAGATTATGTGTAAATGACATGTTTCAGATAATTATTCTTCAAATAACAACTAACAAGCAATTCCTGGTCAGTTTTGTCTTACATCATCTCTCATAGCGAAACAGGAGCCAAACAAATTATTGTTCATGAAAAATAAAGGCTTACAAGTTTGACAAAAAAAAAAAAATAGTCTTCGAAAATGGGTCCAAACACTTGTCAATTACATCACTCCCAGATTTTAGCGTATGATAAGATAACCCTTAAAACCAACGGTTTTTCTGCACAAGTAGTCGCATTTATATATATGGATATAGCGATTAATCGGAAAATCGGACTAAAATCGGGGATTAATCGGGGATTAGTTTTAGGGTTATTTTAATATTTTTAAAACATATTAATCCAATATTATTTTCAAAATTGCGGTAAACACATAAAAATGTATTTTTGAGACAAATTTTTATGATTTTTATTACAAATTTATGATTTTTATTAAAATTTGAACATAAATTATTGTAAAACATTACAAACTCTCAATTCAAATGATTGAATAACAAAAATAAAAAGTTTTTTTATACTAGCAATCTAAAAATAATCGGGGTATGTAAGATTAGGCGGGGAATAATCGGATTAGGCGGGAAGTAATCGGATTAGGCGGAGAGTAATCGGGTAACTGATTTCTTTAAGGGATTAGTCATTAATCGAGGCGGATAGGGTGGGCCTAGCGATTAAGCGGGGAATAATCGAGTCTAGGCGGGGATTTTTAGAACAAGGCTTAAAACCAACGGTTTTTCTGCACAAGTAGTCGCATTTATATATATGGATATACCAAATAAAACATATATTCCATGAAACTAAAAGATAATAAAGTAACTGTCGAAACTCACAAGACACAACAAGCCAATGAAAATCAATTTGTGGACACAAGATTCCTAACAAAAAAACTATCTTTTTTTTAATACTCAAAAATGTTTTGTATTTGTTTAATAAATTATATCGACCGATACAGTCAGTCCCAATAAAAAAAACCGCACCGAAATATTATAGAGTGAATTTTTTCTAAAAGCTGTGTAGAGTTAAAAAAAAAAAAGTGTTTATGGGCATCGACTGGCCAAAATACGAACACGTTCTGTTTTTGCAGCGCTGTTATAGATAAACAGATAAGATTTTTCACTCGACCAACAAAAATGAAGAAGAAAAGAATAAGATAAGATATTTATAAAAAGAAAAAAAAAAAGAGTAAGATAAGATGGAGTATAATGTATGTAGTATTATAAACATGCACACACTTGGAAAGTTGTAACTGGTGCAGCTTCATTGATCATTAGATTTTTTGCATCCAATGCAAATCCGTCACGAGTCACGAGTCCAAAAAAGTTTAGTGCAATCAGGTTCCAAAGGACTATTTCCCAAAAATAAGTAATCTCAAATTTATTTGGTAAAAGTCAAAAGAATATGAATGAATAGTTGAATAGTTATTGATAAAAACTGTAAAAAAATGCTAGGGGTTATAATTTCTAAAGGGTTGCAATAAGTATTTTTTGACGTCGATCGGTATCTTAAGCAAACTAAAGTCGAGCGAGAACAAAAAATTTGTGTCTGAGAGTGAGAGATCATGCAAGAAAAAAAAGGTATCTAGTACTCTTTCTTTTGAGTATTTTTCTACGGTCACACTATATAGTAAATTAATTTGGATATTTTATAAACATCGTTTGGATAAAGAAAAAGACAACGTGTCTTAAAAATATTATCATCCACGAAACAAAAATGTTTAATAAAAAATTTGACGAAAAAACATCGAGCACAAAAATATTATAGAATCCAAATTATTTTTTACATTTATAATATGAATTCCAGTTGTTACAAAAATAAATAATAAAAAAAATCATAAGATAAACAAAAACTACAGAAAATTTTAAGTATTTACGGAAGTAACTGAATTTGGCCGACATTTTATTTATTGGGTTTAACCACACAAATCACTACTACGTGTTAATCTTCATTACCCTCGTATTGAAAGTAGATATGTGGTGATAAGACGCAGATAGAGGAATAAAAGCTGAAGGAATCACTATCATGTGTCTACTCGAATATATAATTAGTAAAAATAAATCATTTGTTTGTAAGACTGATAGAGACAGTGATTGCCTGATTGGCATTGGGGAAGATCGGGTTGTTCATATAAATAATTGATATTGTTCCTTTTTACATATTATATACTTATTTACAGTTTCTTAAATTAATATTTTGGTAGTGGGAGGGGTGAGCTGGAGAACTTAAATTAATTATTGATGTAGTTTAGTTTGAGATGCCAGAACCAACAAGTAACTCAAGAGAAAAACAAAACTATAAAAAGTATAGAGAGGATTAAGAAGTTTTATTAGTGTGTTATTTTTGTCAACAACTTTTAATTAAAATTTAAAAGATGCATTCCTGAGGAATGTTGTTTACATATGTGATATGATGCGATTCGATGCGAATTTTTCACACTAAATTATCCGCTTTTATATTTGCATTTCGAAAGATTAAAAATAAAGAAAAACTTGAAAATTCCTTCTAATCTCTCTTAAAATCTTCTAAATACAAGTTTTATTAGTGTTATTGAATTAATATAAGGGAAATGGACGGTTGATTAAAGAAGAATAAGTAGAGAGTAGAGTCATAATCCAACAAATACGGGTTCATTATTTCTTGAAGAGTCACTGCTGCTTTACTTTTAAAAAGCGTGGATAACAAAATCACCTAAGTTAGTGTTAGGTACTAATGTTAAATTTCTTAATATACTGAGATATATCTTATATCATTACCATTTGTTTTTGTTTTTTGTCAGGATATTTACAAATTAATTATTATATAAAAGATGTGGATATACGAATATACCATAGACTTGACATGCAATTATATACGACATTTAAATCCAGTTAAGGTAGAAAGATACACGTTTAGATCTTTCGTCAAAACAAAAACAAATGGCTTGAACCATTATATATTATATAGTTTCGAATCATTGGGTTATATTAATTTATTCAAAGCATATTCTAAATTTTAATGCAATTGAAAAGCTTGAACGTCACTTTATTATATCTTAAGTTCTATAAGCTAGTAAGTAACTATGAAATTCATAGTTTCAACTTACATCAAATTTTGTTTTTTTTTTTTTTTTTTCATAAGACTTTCGTTAGAGCACATTGAATATTTGAATGAGTGCTTCTTGAGTTTTTTTTTTTTTTTCTTGAGCAAATGGGTGCTTCTTGATAAACTTAGCTATTTTTGTGTTAATAGTTAGAAACAATATGATTTATCTATTCAATGGGCCAATGAAGCAGGCCCGTAATCACCATTTGGCCCATTATTTCTTCCTACACACGTTTCATTAACAAGTCTGAGGATTCTTGTCGCAAGTCTTCGTGGTGTTTCTTAAGAACAATATCAGCGACTGAGATTAACATGTGATCGAGTCTGTTTATGGTTATAAAACAAGGAGAAATTGGTTTTTACATTAAATCTTGCAGATATTTTATGCATTTCCATTTTTTTCTTATCTAAAGTGGAATAAAGGCACTTCACAGGTTACTGTGAGTCTGTGACCTTTTGGCTTTACTCTTTCATACTTCACATGCTCTGTACTTACAAAAACAAGGTTTTTATGATTCACTCTCTGATAATCAAATCAACCATTCAAAAGACTACAAATGTCCCAAATGATTAAACAAAGCCATAGCGACAAATGGACTCGTCTTTACTTCACTCTTCAGAGTACAAAAGAGTAAATTGCAATAAACTTTGAGAATTTTCTTCCTTTTTCATATTTTTACTCCACAAGCAAAAAAGTGATAACAAACAAAACAAACAAAAAACATAATCGCTACAAGCAACGATGAGATTACGCTACGAATCCAAAAGATTCAGTGTATATGTTCCTTCTTTTACTTTGTGGGTTTCATTCTCTGGAAATCACATTCTTTGTTCTACCACATCACATCAAGATCTAAAGGTTTTACATATATGTTTTTGTCGGGTGTTGACTGTGTCGTGGAGATTAAGGAAAGAACCAGACCTTGATGAAGATCGAAAGAACCATTTGCAGACCAAATGCTGCAGCCATTACAACCGTGATATCATTGTTCGTCTCGAGGTAGGACCGTAGATTCAGGGCAACAAAGCACGATGATGCACTACCAGCTAAGAGTATAATCACCCATCTCAGAAACTCTACTGGAATAAGCAACGGAAGCTGCAAAAACACATCCTGAGTGTTAGAATGCTTAAGCAGCATGAAGTACAAAGTTGTGATACCATTTTAGGTTGATTTTCTGTATTGTGAATGGTCATTGAATGTTAAGTTACCAAACCATTGTGTATTAAGTATATGCATTTGTGTTTAGTGTTACAGATCATCAATTGATTAATTTTAACAGCGAAAGAGACCTAAGTTACTGAAGATACTTACAGAGGTTGGAACGAAAATGAAGAGAGAGTATCCCCAGAGGCACCAGAATCTTAGAAGATCAGCTTTGGACCCCATATAACGGAGTGAGAAATAAAATCCCAGAGGCACAATTATTGCATATCCATAGATTATAGATGCTGCCAAATTCATATAGTTCACATCAAAGATCCAAGGAGCATTACTGTCGGTTCGTTTCTTCACGAGATACGTGGCACAATTTCCGAGAGAAGCAAGCACAAACACAAGCGTAGTGCAGATCCAGACAAGTCCATACCTAACAGAGCGAAGAGATGCACACACGAGTCATTAATCTAGAAAATTTTGTGAAAGGCCCAGCTTTTAGCCAATCTTTAGAGGATAAAATGTTTTGATGTTTTCTATTCATTTGTCCAAGAGAAAATGAGGATATTTTAATCTATCGCCTGACGTAACAAAGCATTAAATGCATCCTATTAGCTTATAAAGCAATAATCCACTAAACCAATGACAACATCAACACACAAAGTGGGTAAAGTTTTAGTCTTTACTCAACGAGGCCTGTCTTTAATTGCCTTGAAGCCTGATCGGACAAATCCTATTGTCAGATCTTATGTTTCCTAAGCAAAAAGATTACACCACATCAACCTTACGATAGTCTAATGGAAACTATGTTACAGACTATGAAAATAGCTAGAAGCCTGAACCTAACGTGAGGAAATGTTTTAACAAGCGATAGTTAGCTGAGAGCCTTAATTAAGTCTAAAGTAAATCAGTTTCAGAGAAACACTCACGCAGCAAAACTATAGTAACAAAAAACATTAAACAAGCGAAAAGAAAAAGGGTAAAGCAGGAAACCTACGGTTTTATCAATAACTCAAATTACTTAATATTTGATGAAACTACGGTTATAATCATCAAATACGATAGCTCTATTGGCAATCTCTACTCTAGTAGAGCTATTTAGCTAACACCTGGCAACTGGAAAGCATTCCCCAAACCTATGACATATTAAATTCATTCCTTTGACCTGACACAACAGGAATGTGCTTCCAGAAAGGTGCAGAAGATGACACATAAAATGGTAACAAATTAACAGACTGACTTAAAATGGTAAGAACTCTCGCAGAGCAAGTGCAATCACCGAGAAGACTGAAGGGCAAAAAGGCATTAAAAGACTTACAAATCAGGGTTTGCATCAATCTTGTTGAAAAAATCCCCACTAGTAGGATATAACGAGCTCATCAATCTGTTCAAAACAACATCAGTGTCCACGTCGAAGTATTGGGTATATGAGTAGACGTTAAAAAAGCCCTTCCAGTTGTTTGATGGCTGTTGTTCTGGTCCTTGTACTGGAATAGATAAAATAAATCATCATAAAAGAAAGAACAAGGTGAAAAAAGGTATATAGGATCTTCACATGCATAAGAAAAACGAGGTTCACTCACACAAGCATTCTTTCAACCATTTTACTGTTAGTTCGACGTTCGGAATATCTAATTTTGAATATATAACAAGTTCTTACCGTTTAACTGATTCATGGTGCCTACAGATTATAAAAATCTCCTAAAAAAAGAATCTAAAAGGAGTATATATACCTGTTGGACTCTCAAGAGTTTGATAACCCTTTGTATTGTTTCCTAGATTTGGTGGAAATATTTGCATGTTAGCAGAAGGACCTGCTATAATGCAGAACACATACAACACTCAAAGTCTTGCACTACCAGAAAAAAAAAAGTCATTTGCAAAAGATAGTTCAAGCAACAACTAGCAAAAAAAGAAAGCACACCTTCATTTACGCTTGCTATTGGTACATTTGTGCTTCTCTTGTCGTCGCTGATCACAGCCTAAGAAAGAAAGATGCTTGTATTAGACATAAGAACATCGGCGTAGTCATTCACTCGAAACATTTATCTTAGCGGTTTCAATCCAAAATGAAGAGCTATCATGCAAGCATTTAAACTCAAATCCAATGTTGTTATTCATAAACTAAGAAACGACTCCCAAAACGGTGAAAAACTTAAGACTTGACAGATATAGAAACCCCGAAATGCGAATAAGGAAATCGTCGATTGTTCTATGAATGTGAGGACTTTAAGCAACATCATGGACGGGACAAAGAAAATATGAAAGTTTCAAAATTCTACTTGCTAATGAAATCGTGAACGATTCTAAAAACTGGATTTTGTAACACTAGAGACAGAAACACAACAAATACACGAAAAAGAAAAACAACCACATGCACCAAAAATGTTAAAAAAAACTCAATGAAAGAGCTTATTGATGGTGAAATCGTAGAAGCAATGGATGTATTCTAGACTTACAGGAACTGAACCAAGCAAATGGCTCGTTTGTAGATTAGCGAACGACTCATCCATCGAACAAAGAGAAAAGGAAACCAAAGCAAAGCTTAGAAGAGAGGTTCTTCTAATCTCAGTAAGAAATCGATAAGATCGGAAAAAAGATCGTCCCTTGCTCTGAATTTTTAAGGTTTCTGGGTTTTCTTCTCTCCTCCGTCGTCGTGGAAGCAATTGGGAAAGGAAGACGAGAAAGAGAGAACGATCCACGCGCTTTCTTCTTAAGCAAGTGGTAAAACACGCGCCGTTCACTTTCTTACACGTGATTTGCCGACTGGGCCATACAATCACAAGGCCCATATTTAAAATTTGACCCTGCTTGACCCGAATTAAACAATCCGACCCGACCCGACCCGACCCGACCCGACCCGACCCGACCCGTTTGAGGAGCGTCGCGAGAAATTCACTCAACAGTGTTTCTCTCTTTGTCTTCCCTCCCGAGAAAGCTTAATGGAGCCCTAGACTGGTTTTATCACTCTCGCCAACACCAACCACGCCTTTTCTCTATTTACCTCCATTTTTTGGGTTTGTTTCTTCAACGGAGAAGATGGATACCAGAGAAATCAATGGTTTTGCCTCCGCCGCGAGATCGATATCTCTTCCTACGCAGCCAAATTACAGTAGCAAGCCTGTTCAGGTTCTTCCGCTTGATACTTTTTTGATTGTCTTCTTCTTCTTTTGTAATCGTTTAGCTCAGGTCATATGATACCTAGGTGCTCTTTCATCTTCAGCTTAAGTGAGTTTTGCAGAGCTTAGAGTTAATTACGAATTTATTGTGTTATGGCTTATACTACTTGGAGATATCTGTCTACAAGCATTTGTTGGTTTCTGAATTGGTGTTTTCTTTAGTTTAAGTTCATCCACTGTTTATTGCAGGAGGCGTTGAAACATTTGGCATCTATCAACCTTAGAGAATTGTGTAATGAGGCAAAAGTTGAGCGATGTCGTGCAACAAGAGACTTGGCTAGCTGTGGACGATTTGTTAACTATGTGTTGAATCCATGTGGGCATGCCTCCTTGTGCTCAGAGTGTTGTCAGAGGTGTGATGTTTGTCCTATCTGTAGAAGTACGCTACCAAAATACGGAGATAGACTTCGGCTTCGTCTCTATTATGAGTGTGTTGAAGCTGGTTTGATTTCCCGAACACATGAAGAGGCGTCTCAGGATTCAGATGAGGATGAAGATCAATTGGCAGCTGATGTTCATCGTCTTTATTCTCTGTTTGATGTTGCTATGAACAACAATTTGATATCTGTGGTTTGCCATTGTATCCTTCTGTTGCGCTTTATGCCCGCTGTCAGATATATGCATTTAGTCTTTAGTTTCCTGTTTGATACTTCATGAATTTCTTATAGATTCGTATGCATGTGTTGTCTCAATTACAGCTGTGACCATGAATCTCCTTATGAAAATGCATGTGCTATTAGAAACTGTGTTTATATGGGGGATTTTGTACTGATAGGTTCATTTATTCTTAGGTAGTTCTTGTTTCCTGCCAATCTCTGTTGGACATAATGTGCATAGTGTTTTTGTCATTCTCTAAGAGGTATTTTATGTTTGATGCATAGTTGACATCTCCTTGACAGAAAATGAATAGATATCACCAATGTCTGTATGGATGAGACAGCTGTATCTAGTGATCCGGTCATTGCTTTCTTGCTGGATGAAGTTGTTGTCAAGGATTGGGTCAAGCGTACATTCCGGAGCATCTTAGCTGAGCTTCAAGAAATCTGTATCCTTTTAGCTGTTAATATTTTTATGTTTCTTAAGACAGTATATGTGTGTACCTTAAGGTCTGTCTATCTTTAATATTGGCTCTCAGATAGTCTTGAAACAAAAGAGATGCAAGCGTGGTTAGATAAACTCCTAAGGTGTTCCAAACAGGTGGCTGGCATATGTAGTGTGCTCGAAGTTATGGAATCAGCTTTTAACGGTTCTGTTTCATCTCAGCTTCAAGATGTGCTGAAGCTTAGGGAGAACATTGGTAAAACGAAGCAGGTCAGCCAAGATTTTATTTCATTGATATCCAAACAGCTTTGCAAAAGTATGCTTAAATATGTTCCTATGTGCATTATGTTTAGTTCATCTCTGTCACTAGAAATCGGCATACCATGGAAGGTCATCTTCCATGCTTTCCAAAATCATAAGAATGAGTTATTTGTTTTGTATATGGTTTGCGATAAAAAATTTACAGTAAAAGCTTTGCATTTAGATGTATGAAAGACACGATAATGGTCTTCCATCATCAGCTTGGATCTGATTACGTATCCCTACTTCTGGGACTTTATATTATATTCTTAATGTCATTGGCATATTAGTGAATGTTTTTGGGTATATTAAACCTATCTTTATATGACATACTGAATAGTATATGAGTATAACCTTATGGCTCCTGACCAGAGAGTCTTTTAAATAGACCAGCTCTTTAGCTATTGATACAAGATCACCGAGCTTACGGTGTGCTTACCCTATTGTTTTTTTTTTCAGCATCTGGACATAATGGTCTGGTGCATCAGACACGGATTTCTGGAGGATGTGAGGTCTCGATATTCTAATTTCACATCGTGGAATGCCCTTGTAGGAGAAAGAAAATCAAATGCAATTAAGCGTGCATGGCCTGATGCTGTAGACCAGTCTTCAGATTGCAATGTACAGAGTGCTTCCCTCTTTATTGAAGATGCTTTACAAAATCTTGAGAGAGAGCCAGAGTACAGTCAGGAAATAGGGGCCGACCTAGAAGTTGGATGTTTACAGAAGGATAAGAGATCATTTCTTAGGTCCAAAATAGAGGGAACTTCAGGATCTTATCCATTTGAGAATCTTAGAACTGCTGCGGACATGCTCTTTTTACATGGCGGTTCAGATTTGGTTGTTGCGAAGCAAGCAATTGTATCCTTTTGTCATCGCCTATTTTCACATTACACTGCACTTTACTTTTAATGGATACTCGAATATTCCCATGGTTTTCTTTTTCGCTAGTTTCCTTAACCAGGAGATAGTTTCTTTACTACCTGTTTGATCGGCATTGGACTACCCCTGAAAAATATTGGAAGCACATTATAGATGATTTAGCTGCTACCTTTGGCATAACCAGGCATTCATTGTTGGAGTCTTTTGTATTTTATCTTCTCGATGATCATTCTGAGGAGGCACTCCAGGTATCTTTTGGCATTCCCAAGGAAAACTTATAGAAATGTGTATTTTATTGTGCCATACATTTATTATTGATGTAGCTTACAAATTTTCCAAATTATATTTCAGGAAGCTTGTAGGATTCTTCCTGAAATATGTGGTCCAGAAACCTACCCCAAAGTTGCGCAAGTCCTGTTAGAAAGGGAAAACCCTGAAACAGCTCTTATGGTCTTGCGTTGGTCTGGTCGTGATGGTGTATCAGAATTGGTTTCAATTGGTGAAGCTGTCACAGCTGTTCGTGTGAGAGTGGAATGTGGTCTTTTGAGTGAAGCATTCACATACCAAAGGACACTTTGCTTGAAAGTAAAGGAAAATAATTTGAAAAATGGAGCTGTGAAACATGTGTCTGATGATCTAGATAGCTGGAGTTGGACGGAATGGATGGAGATACTTGTCAATGAATTCTGCTTTCTTTCTATTCGGAGAAACTTGGTTGATCGAATCATTGAGTTACCGTGGAACCCAGACGAGGAGAAATATCTGCACAGATGCTTATTAGATTCTGCAACTGATGACCCCTCATCAGTTGTGGGTAGTCTTTTGGTTGTCTTTTATCTTCAGGTAAGTAATTATATTTTCATACTTAAAATAACTTCACTTGAACAAAATGGGCTGAGATGTCTTTGTCAGCACGAGAGTAGCTTTAGCAACAGGCATATACGTACTTAGACAACAGCTTAAACGTCCTGAGCTTTAAGCTACATATCTCATTTGAAAATTTTAATAAGGGATCTAGATGGTGGCTCTGTGTAGAATTAGCTCATACTACTATTTACTGGTTTACATTCTCGTAAGTGATGTCTGGGCTTCCACAATCTTTTATAATTCGAGCTTGATGTAGTCTGGCATGTTGAGAGTCGTGAACAAGCATGAAATTATTTGAACAACCAGGCAGACTGCATCATTATAAACCATGCTTAACTCTGGAAAATTATTATTTTTTGTATATGGTTGGGTACTTTGGTCTGTCTTTGACTGGAAATTACTGGTTGTTCACATTGCTGCAGCGCTACCGTTACATCCAGGCATACCAAGTCGATCTTAGGCTCCAGAAAATTGAAGAGGCTTTTGTATCCGACAATCAAACTGGGGAAGAAGTTATGTTCAGAATGCGATCACAGAGTCATTGGAGAAAAGAGTTAGTTGTAAGTATTCCAGCCAACTTTCCATGTACAAGTAGTGCTTAGTAGCCTGTTGATGACTTGATGCTTGCAGAATTGTCTAGTATTCTGAAACTTGAATGTACTTTATGTGCAATATTACTTGATATTGGCTATTTTAACTGGACAATTAAACCCTCTTGTGTCTCTGTTGCTTTGAAACAGGATAGAGCCATAGATATACTTCCAGTAATCCAGCAGCAGCAAGTTAGATCTGGAAAATTTTCTGAGATGGAAGATGCCTCTGAAAGTGCTTCTGAAGGAGTAAAAAACTCTGATCTTCCCGATGCATCTGACATGATTACTTCTTCAGTTCCCTTTGCTGCAACTAATTCCGTTTTTCTTCAAAGGGCTAACAATGCCAGCGCTAGAGAGCCAGTGGCTAATAATGGCAGTCCTTTTCAACCCGGTCATTTGATAGGAAATGCTTCCCTTGATCTTTCCCATGGAAGGTTATTTACAAACGCAAATAGAGGACAAAAGAGTGAAGTTAGAAGCATAACCAAGGCTCTGAAATTCGGTGAAATGTCAACTCCGTTCAAAGATCTAAATAGAACTCGTGGGAACAGCCAGCTCAAAGGAAAAAGGACCGAAGAAACCTCTCCAGAGACAAATGTTGATAGATTCATGGAGAATAATATGAGCTCCCCTTATCTTCGCCGAGTCACAGCTAACAATCCTGTGACAGTGAAATCTAGCAGCAACCATCTCAATGGATCTGCACAGAAACCGGAATCCACCTTTTTTGGCGCAAGGATGCAAGCAGACAAAGATAACTTTGTTGATTTGGATGATCCAATGGACATGTCTTCGAGGTATTTTTCCTCTCTTCTTGATCTCTTAGCCTTTTTTTCCTTTCTGGAAATTGTTTGGTATAAAACTGTTGTTACCGTTTGGTTTGAAACTAAAGTCCTGTTTGGATTCAGTTTGAGGAATTTTGGTTATTTTCTTTTGTCCACCCCTTATTATGTTGATATTGGATGGGCTACATATAAATTGTGTGTATCATGAATTGCAGCTTGAAGGACAACAACAATGTCTTGGCCACTGAGAGCAGAAATAACAGTGGCGGATTGAGGTGGCGGTCAGATGAAACAAGCGATGAGGAAGATGAACTGAAGTTGGGCATGGAACTGACTAATTTCAGTTCCATGCCGGTGAAGGGAAGGAGGAGACGTAGATTTGCGGCAAGATGAAATAAAACAAACACTCAAAAAGACCATCATCAATTATGTTAAGCATAGAGAAAGGAAGAGATAAGAGCAAGTTGTGTAAAGAGGGAGAGAGATGGTACAGTGAGCTTTGTTCTCCTGATTATTTTTTTGTGCTGAATTTTGTGTTTTTCTTCTTTTGTTTACCTTTTTGGGACATTTATTTTTCGGATATCATTGTGGTGAAATGATGAGTATGTTTAATTGCATTGAGATTAAATAATTTTCTTTTTGTATTCACTATTTCTTCTCACCAAAGTTCAGAGTTTTAATTATTATTTTATTTTTACTAATTTCCAAAATTAATAAATGGAAATAATTAACATAAGTTTCTTCCAAGTTTCTGATATAAATAAGAAGAGTAGGGTTTCTTCAAATCGTTCCCTAACTCTTTATTCCGATTTGTCGACAAGGTAAAACCCTAAAAACCCTCATTCTCTGTTTCTGCCTTGGGTCTGTACTGAAATTCTTTATTCTCATATTAGGTTTTCGTGTGTCTTAATTCCGCAGGTGGTGTTGGATCCATAATTATATCATGGCGACTCTTTAGCTTTTATACGATGCTTTCTTTTTAAGTTGCTTACATGATTTTTGTCTTGTTTTTGAGGCAGGTCTTCAATATGATAACAATAATTGCGAAATTGGTGTATTTTCCAAACTCACAAATGCTTATTGTCTCGTTTCCGCAACATCTGCCTCCGCAAATTTATTCACGTATATATATTACACTCTTGACATTGTCTAATTAAGTTTTCATGTACAAGTTTGGTTTTATTATGACTTGTAAATGTTTAATTTCTTTGTAGTGGTTATGAGTCGAAGTTAAAAGGTGTTATCCCAATTGTTACTACTTCCATAGGAGGATCTGGTACTATAGGTAGTCTATGTGTTGGAAACAAAAACGGGCTTCTTCTGTCTCACACCATTACAGACCAAGGTGATTTGATTTTCACTATTACAAGTTTTTTATATAGTTTTGTAATGATCTTTTTATTAATTCGGGACTGTTTTGTAATGTGAACAGAGCTTCAACATTTGAGAGATAGTTTGCCTGATGAAGTTGTAGTCCAACGAATTGAGGAACCTATATGTGCACTTGGAAACGCTATAGCTTGCAATGACTATGTCGCGCTTGTGCATCCAAAGCTTGAGAACAACACCGAAGAGATAATAAGTGATGTTCTTGGTGTTGAAGTTTATCGCCAAACCATTGCGAATAACGAACTTGTGGGAAGTTATTGTTCTTTATCCAATAATGGTGGAATGGTTTGTAGACTACAATATAAACATCCATTCTTTTGGTTTGTCTTTGTTTTGTGGCATTTTGTCTCACCAGAAATTATCTGACTAGAATATATGATTTTTTCACTATATAGGTTCATTCAAATACGAAAGTGGAAGAAATGGTCGAACTAGCGAATCTTCTTCAGGTGCCTTTGGTTGCAGGAACCATGAACCGTGGAAGCCAAGTGATATCCGCTGGTTTGACTGTGAACGATTGGACCGCTTTCTGTGGGTCAGACACAACTGCAGTAGAGCTCTCTGTTGTTAACGGTATCTTCAAACTAGTCCAATCTCAGCCCGATTTTGTCGTTAGTGAGATGAGGAAGTCTTTGATCGATACCTATGTCTAAATCTTGCTTCTTTTTTTTATGACTCAGTATTAAGTAGTAATTTCTTCTTGTTCCAGTTTAAGATTTTAGAAATAAATTGATTTTTGGGAATGTTATATCATTCATTAGCAATTTCTTGGTGTTTCTCTGGAAATAAAGCCTTTCTTTGTTATTAGTATTCAATCAGTTCTTATAAAATCTCTGAGCAACAAATCTCCCCATTCAAAATCCAAAGGGAGATAAAGTCTTTCTTGAGATTCTATTTAAAGTTAACACAAACACGGTGTGATCCATCCAATCCAAATCAAGATCATAGAGCAACATAACACATAACATTAAATTTGAGAAGATCACAAAGGAAAAGTTCCTGTTAAGCGGATATGATCGAGTGTGCGACGTAGACCGTACTTACAAGCCGCTGCATTTGCTGCTCTGAAACCTCCTCCATAAGCTGGAGACGCATCATGAGCTATCTGATGTTTAAAGAACTCTCCAAGTTTCTTCTCTACGTTTGATTTCCCTCCTTTCTTGTTAGACAATGATGATGATGATGGTGTGGCTGCCGATGATGTTGAAGGCAAGTTTCTTGATGAAGGATCTGAGAGAACTTCAGATTCAAGCCACATGTAAGAGAGGACTTGGCAGATTCCTTCCTCTACCTCAGGGTTAAGGTTCCTAAACCCTGATAGAAACAAGAAATTAAAGAATTTAAGATGCTGTTAGTTATACTATAGACTTTATATATCAAAATAGATGTAACATTTAACACAAAATCATATTAATGGGTGCGGATGATTTTTAATATGTTTAAATTACAAAAAAAAACGAACAACTGTAAACCTAGTTTTCCTCTCCTCCTACTTTTCGTATAAGAAACGAAATTTTTGAAAATGTATACTTTATACCAAAATGATCACATAAGTTGTGACTAATTAAATAATGACAGTACGTAACACATTAATTAATAAATGCGTGACCTCCAAATAATTCTTACAGTAGTTACCATTGAGTCTTAACCATCCGTGCATGAGCTCATGGGCGAGAATTGCTCCGGTTAGTAATCTTCATCCACAAAAACGATTAGGTTAGTAGTCGTTTAGTGTCAAAAAGCGAATTTGAGAATTGAGTGACTAGTGTAGTACCGCGGGAGTCCGTAAAGAACGAGTATGGCTGTGACTTCACATTTGCGTGTAAGCCTTTGAGGCTGAGTTCTCATACCAACAAGACGGTGAGCACCAAGTCTCGGTCTTCTAAGAACCTGTGAAGAACCAAAAAAAAAAAAAACAGAGCAAAATAAAATTTACTGTTTAGAATCAGAAATTTAAGAAAGTTTCCAAGAAGAGTTTGAAAAGACATACACTTGTAACTGTCTGTTCTTCAGACAAGCATAAACCTCTTGTCTCAGGCATGTGATGGTATCCCTGTGAAACGTACAGATCTAGGATTAACTCTAATCGTAGTCTGAGAGAAACTATCACAAAAATGGTTATGTATAAGTTGAAAGATCAAAGATTACGTTTTTCTCTCCTACGATAGCATCATTGAGAGCTTCTCTTTGAACAAGAAGCATAGGAATCTGTTGATCAAGTTTCATGTACATTCCTTCGTAATAGTCTCTTATCGCGTGGTAAAGCGGTTGACACTCTCCAGTATCGATTATCGCGGTTTCCATACATTCTAAACACAAGCTTCTCCCATCTTCTAACATGTAATATCTCACATCCCATGACTTCATGATCACAACATAGAAAGGAAAGAAAAAAAACACAATTGATTTGTAAAAAAAATAGATATGGACTTATCAAGAATTAATAAAATTATTTGTATTTGATTACCTCCAAACGTTCGCAGCTGCAACAACGAGCGGTTTTATCATATTCGTGAGACGGGCAATACTTTTGGTTCCAAAACGGATGGCATCGATACTCGATCAAGCCAGCATCATTAGTTGGTATCTGAGGAGAAGAATATGGAATTGGAAAAATATAAAAATATCTTATGTTTAGGAATCTTAATTATAAGGTGATTGTATCATTGCTTACAAAATGGTGACAAACTTCACATTTGGGATGAGTAAGCTCTTTGAAACAAAGCTTATGATAGGGTTTGGTTCCTGACAGAGAGAACTTGAATCAAGAGAGAAGACAAAACACACAACCTTAGTCACTTCAAAAGGACATTAACATAAACTAAGAGTATTATTATATGTGTGCATATATATATATACCTCATGCTCAGTGATAGCATAACCACAAGAATGGCAACGGAAGCATTCAGGATGAAAGAATGTGCCCATGCATCCTAGATAGTTCCCTGATCCAATATCGCGATCGCAACCGCCACATATTCTGCTAAAAATCACGGAAACAATGTTACCAAATGTGCAATTGGAAATCATGTTTTAAGAAATGGAAATTTTTAAGTTTGTTTTCATAATTTACAATGTACTATTAAAAGTTTGAACCAAGGTTAGGAAAATTCGTGGGTATTACTATTAAAAGTTTGAACCAAGGTTAGGAAAATTCGTGGGTATTATTGAACTAATGCTACTATAAACAGCTCATTTTATTTTACTTTTTATAGAAATAGATATTTTTTAATTACACTAAGAGAATGTGTTTTGTTGTACCTTTGTCTTCGTCTGCATTGATAGGAAGGCTCATAAGGTGGAATGAAAGATGATGGATTCAAGCCACCGTGAAAAGGCCTTGGAAAATCTCGATTGTTATCCATAGACCAACCATACCCTGCACAATTTATTTCATAATAGAGATTTATTCTCTAATGCAATAGACATAACGTTTTGAACCAACTTTAATTTTTTTCATAACAAATACTTTAATTCATGAACGTAGATAGAGATACCATGTGGGCGCTTCGTGTTGTCAGCTAGAGAAAGTGAAATTGAACGGTCCAGCTCTTCTTTGTCCCGTGCACCTCTCGACCGATCATCCTGTGATTCGTTATTCGTTGACATGACCATCCAAAATGGCACCAATTGATGAAATAAATTAGCATATTTCAGATAATAATAATAATATTCCACCAACATGATATATATATATCATCTTTTATAGATTCATATATGATCACAACTAAATATCATTGGTAGTGCTAAAGGGTATCAAAATAGGTTGACAAAAAAGGAAAAGGTATCAAAATAGGCCACATCAATCCAATACAACTCTTTCATCATTTACCGAGTATTTTGTGTTTATCTATTTAATTCATGGATTAAAAATTACTCCCTCTGTTTCATTATATAAGATATTTTAGGGATTTTGTTTTGTTTCATATTATAAGATGTTTTGCTAGTTTCAATGTAAATTTAAATGCATTTGACAACTTGTGACTATTTATATTCTACAGTCTTTATTATGATTGGTTGAATTTTTCCATAAACTAAATATAAATAATGTTTTTAAAAGAAAAATAAATTATCTAAATATGTGTGCATATACGTTAAACTTCTTATATTTTGAAACAGAGGGAGTATATTTCTAACCCAATATGAGCTAGGTTGTTCATATTATCTTTTAAAAGTTGAAATAATTTGATTATATAAGTTTTCAAGAAAAATTATTAATTAAAAATCAAATTAAAGCATTATTGTGTATTATTAAAAAAATACAGCTCAGATAACTTGGGAATCTAATCCGCATAATACATGAGAATGAATCGAAAATATATCTCAACTCGGTAATAGGAAGAAAATATCTCAATTCGGCCCACTAATAAACTACTCCTTGTTGAACCAATTTCTACCTATTTTTCTTATCCCTAATAGTGCACAAGGCCACATTGTCACATTATCTCAATTTGAGCATCAAAACCCAACGAGAATCATGACAACAATATAAATCATAAATGGACCAACTCATTCAAGGATGTGACAATTTTATAGAATGTACATGACCCGTGTTATTTATTTCAAACAACACGAGTAAAAAAAGAAAACAGTAGTATGTTCACATGTCTTCTGTATATCAATGCTTTAAATATGAATAATCACATGTTTATAGTATATGTGTGTAGATTAAAATAGAAAAAAAAAATGAAAGAAGAAATGTTTCAAATTAAATGAGTATGTAACTAAAAATAATAATTACCAAAGAAGAAGGAGGTAGAGGAAACACCATATTCTCGTCTTCTTGAAACTGAGGATGATGATTAGTGTGAACACCACTAACACCATTAGAGCCAGTCTTGAAAAGCTTACTCACCCATTTCATCAACTTCCATTTCTTATCTCTATATGTTGACGAAGATGACGACCCAACTTCCCCTATAATTATCAAAACGTTAGGTTTACCCTTTCAATATTTAGTCTAAAGAATATAATTTGGTAAGAAAAGAAAACACACCAAAGATGCAAGGATTAGAGATATGGCTGACATGAGCAACACCGTAAGAAGAAGAAGGAGAAGAAGAAGTGGAAGAAGAATCCATGAGGATGGAAAAATGGCCCACACGTGTTTATATATACTTGAAAACGTGTGAGTAAAGCGAAAACGACGGCCGGAGAGAGAAGCAAAGAAAAGAAGAGGAGGAGGAAGAAGAAGGAAGAGGGGAGAAGAAGAAGAAGAAGAAGAAGAAGTTGGAAGCCATGAAATTGTTATTAGAGAATAAAAACATAAATGAAAAGAGAAGAAAGAAAGAGAGAATCTTTGCAGAAGAGATCGGGCAAAAAAAAAAACTAAAAGAGAAAAAGAAAAGGAAGAGATGCTTAGCTTCTGAAAGGAAAGGAACAGAGAGAAAGATATGTTTTTTTTAAGAGAATATTTTTATGTCTTTTTGGTTTTGCTGAGGCGGAAGAATCCCTCAAACAACGGTGTGGGGAGGAGGACGATAGTTGAAACCTTTTTAAGCTTCTCTTTTTTAAAAAACAAGAAAAGAGATGCAACACAAAGACTTCTCGGGAGGTCACATATCTTAGTACTATTCTCACCCATCATAGAAAACTTTTTTTTTTTTTTTTACCACGAGTTATCTCGTAGTGATAAAAGGCCTCCAGCTGGGGGTACCGCTATCTGGGTTCGATTCCTGGCCACTGCGGAA